TTTTTTTTTTTTTTTAGTACCGGGGATCGAACTCGGGACCTTGCACTTGCGAGGCAGGCGGTGAAACCACTGAGCTAAATCCCTGGGCCTTCCAGACCTTTTTTGATTCTCTGTTTCAGAACTGGAGACTCTCTGCTCTGCTTGGTTTCCTTCCTTAGTACTTTCACTATCCCAACACTTTCTATAAAATCATGATGCCAACCACTTGTGTCATTTTGAATTTCCTAATAGCCACATGAAGGTGAAAAGATGCAAGTAAAATTAATTTTAAAAATAAATCTTATTGTGTGTATATACACATAGAATATGACAAAAATGACCATTTGAATGTGTAATCCTTACTGAGATACCTTAGATCTTTGTGTGTGGGGCTAGGTGCTGGGGATCGAACTTTCATACTAGGTAAGTGCGCTGCCACTGAGCTACACTCTCGGTCCCCAGATCCCTTTTTAATGCTCAATTTTTAAAAATCTAGTGTGTATCATATAGTATACCTCAATCCTGGCTAGCCAAGTTCAAGTGGTTTACTTAATAGAAAGATGTATAGATGCACATAACACAAAAATAATATCTTTTATTAAAAGTCTGTCTTGTTTCCCAATAGTATTTAATCCCTGTGAAGGCTAGGAGTTTTTCCTGTCTTGTTTACTGCTGAATTCCTTGTGCCTAGAACAATGTCTGGTACATACTAGCTGCTCAACAACAAAAAAATACAATAGTAACACACACAGTCCCCACCACCTGCCCAGCACAGTTCTGTGCGTTTTACATATATTAACAACCTGGGCAGGTGGTACTCTTACTGTTCTCTCTCAACAGAAGAGGAAATTGAGGTTCGGAGAGGCTCAGCCGCATGTGCAAGGTCACACAGCTCATAAGTGGCAGAGCTGGCATTTGGAGCCAGGCCAGTGGGTGTGAAGTTCTTGCTTTAAGTCACCACATGGGACTGCGTGACTGCAAGTGTCTGGAATGAGCGAGAGTGAGCTCAATGTGGTGAGTGTGCATGTGTGTGAGCCCAAATGTGTGTAGCGTGTGTGCGTGTCTGTCCCTGTGTGTGTGTATGTATACGTGAGTGTCTATGCATGGATGTTGATGCGTGTTCCTCTTGGTGCCTGTGTCCCAGTGTGGGTACATGTGCGATTGTGCAGGCTGTGACTTTTGGGAGAGCCTGAATTGGGATGTTTCCAGGCCAGGATGGGTTTAGAGATGGTGGAGGACCAGGCCGTCTTCTGCTTTGTATGGGATTATACTAATGAGATGCAAATGAATGCTGATAGGGGCGTGGTCCTCAGCAACAGACCCACTCTTCAAAAGCCACTTTGTCCTGATAGCCTCTGCATTGGCTCTGCAGCTAGAGACCATGAGCCATAGGAAGGATGGATTTAGAAACCCGTTCCCTTCAAAGTGAAAAATGTCTATGAATAGAAGCTTCCTAAATAAACACTTATTCATAAAAATGTAGCCCTATAAATTCTTCATATTTGGTAATGTAATGAAGAACGTGTTAAAAATATATCTTTCGTCAATGCCCATATATGATGTTTGTAAGTAAATGTTTACAAAGAGAATAGTTAGCTCTCAGGGCTTCGACTCACTTCCTCACTCTGCCCCAGGTCTCCCCTCTCTGACCTTGCACCTCATCCCCCCTCTGTCACTCAGTGCCTCCCATACCACCCCCAGTCTCCCTTTCCTCTCCCCAGACTGCACCAGATGCCAGCTCTTTCTCCTCCTTCCTACCACAGAAGGAGCTTGGGAAATGACACATTTAATCATCATTCATTCTGTTGTTCATTCGTTTGATTTGTTCCTTGGAGACAGGATCTGGCTATGTAGTCCAGGGTGGCCTTGAACTCATGATCCTCCTGCCTCAGCCTCCCAACTGCTGGGATTACAGGCGTGTGCCACCTCCCGCACTTGGACTGTCTTTTAAATACCATTATAGGTTGAATCCTGTATCTGAAATGCTCACTTCAAGAAATGCATATTTTAAGAGTTTGGACTTTGGAATATTTCCTTACACTTAATGAGCTGTCGTGGGGGACTCAAGTCTATGCATGAAGTCCCTTTATGTTTCATGTACACCTTATGCACATAGCCTGAAGGTCATTATATACGATCGATGTAAATAATTTTTGTTCATGAAACAAACTGTCACGGTATGAAATTTTCCACAGTGGCCTCATGTTGGCGCTCCAAAGATTTCAGATTATGGAAATACAATAAGAAGCAGTCAACAAAAGCCAAATCCTGATAGGAAACAAATTGTCATAGATTATTTTTCTCACTACCCCCTCCAGCCCCTGGACACCACTACCTCCTCTACTGGGACCTCACCAGAAGGGTCTGCCTCGGGTGGCGCTGAGGACCCTCTCTGACCCTCACTCCTCTCTCTACCTTGTACCCCAGCCGGGTGGAAGAGACTGGAGTGGTGCTGTCCCTGGAGCAAACAGAGCGACACTCTCGCAGACCCCTTCAGCGTGGCACCTCCTCTCAGAAGGATGGCCCTAATCCTGGGGACAGGCTTGGTATGGAGCAGGGCTGTTGTGTCCCCAGGACCCTTGGAAGAAACCCCAAGTGCCTTGACTTGGCTCATGAAGCCCTGGAGGACCCGACTCCTGCCTCCTTTTACTTGTCACTCACTCTTGAATCCACACATGCTTCCTCAGCTCTTGGGACATGCCAGACTCTTGCCTCAGGGCCTTTGCAAATGCCCAGAATGTTCTTCTCTTTCCTGTCATCGCTCTTCTATGTCTATGAGATGATTGCTTCAGTCTTTTGCCGTCCTCTGCTCTGAATCCTGCTATAGCTCCCTATTGCTTGCACCACACTGCTCTTTGGCCTCTGGTAATCTTGACCCTCATGAGTGGCTCCTTTCTCCCTCTTCCACCTTCCCTACCCCCACCCCAGGTGAGCTCCCCTCCTTGTGTGTTCTTCAAGGCCTCACCTTCTCCAGCTTGTTGCTGGTAGCCTGTGCTCCTGGGTGTGGGGTGCGATTTTCGATACCCTTTCCTTTTAGGGCTCAGACCTCTGGGGATCTTCCCATGTCCTTGGGACCATCGCGTGTTTTTTCCCTAACATGCAAGTGCCCCAGAGCTGAAGAGCTGCTTGCTATTTTGGGCCACGGAGCCCTTCCCCTGGTCCTCCAGGGCCTCCCCACAATCTGGCAATGAAAGTTCCCACCTGGCCCAGTGGCATCCTCCATGCCCCTTCTCCCCGGCCTGAGAACTGCAGCCGCCCCAACTAGTTGTTGTTCCCTGGGCTTGGTGTGGGGGGCTCTGGTCCTCAGCCCCAGATGGTCACCCTGTGTCCTTGCCATCCTGCAGATACCCCGGGTCCCTGGATCCTGGCCTTCCTGCACCCCCCTGCCCTGAGTGAGGCCACCCTGGCTGCTGACCCCCGCCGCTTCTGTAGCCCTGACCTGCGCCGCCTCCTGGCACCCATCCTGGATGGGGCTGCAGTAGCCACCACCCCCAGCACACCACAGGCCGCCTGGCGCCCCCGAAGTCCTCTCGCGGTAAGCAGTTCCCACCCCACTTGGCCCATCTCTGGGCCTCAGTTTCTCTATCTGCTTAAGCAGGAAGGTTGGGATGAGATAGGGCTGGAGTTCCTTTAAGACCTGGATTCCAGATTCTTCAGCTGTGAGAACTCCAAAGTCCAGCTCCTGCCTGGGTTTGGGATCCCAAGGTGTTTGAACTGGTACAAGCAGCGCCCCTAGCTGTGACCAAGCTCTAAGCCCTCTGCACTTCAGCCTCAGAGCCAGGGAAGTCGAATGTCCTGATTTACAGAGTCCTGGATTCAGATCCTTAATCTCCTCCTGACAAGCTGTGTCAGCCTTGGCACGTGAATCCTGGAGGGCTTGGTATCCTCAGTGAGGATAGCAAGAGCCACATCCTTGGTCACTGGGAGGTGACATGAGATCATGCATGGGACCTGGGTGGGAGGGGCCTGGCACTCACAGCTGTGCAGCAGGCCCAAGCAGCAGACATTTCTTTCTTTCTTTTTCTTTTTTATGAGATAGGGTCTCACAATGTAGCTCAGATTGACCTCGAACTCATAGCAATTCTCCTGCCTCCGCCTCCCAAGTGCTGAGATTGCAGGTGTGCACCGCCATGCCCAGTTTAGCGGCACCCATTTCTACCACAGTGCAGATAGTCCGATCTTTGACCTCTGTGGGCTCTATTACCTGGTGCCAACTGTCCTCGTCCTCACCTTCTACCCCAAGAAAATACCTTCTCTCCACTGGAGAAAGATGACTGTGAGATTTTTAACCTCACCCTTCACCCCAGACAACCTGGACCCTACAGACTCCAGACCCCAAAACTTTTAACCCCAGAGGGCTGAGTGTCTTGGCTTCAGGCTCTGGCCTTTCTGACTTTCCTAGTCTGTCCTGTTGATCTGAGTGTACCCAGGTTCTCTGACCTTTCAACACCTCGGCTCAGCCACCCCAGTGCACCACAAGCTGCCCTGCATTTCCTGTTGGACCCCCTGATACCCCGGCAGTCTGACATTTGACCCTCGTTTCTGTCCTTAGCTCCAGAATGTCTTGCTGTTGGCACCTCCCAGGGCTGAAGGGCCCCCCATGCTCTCTCCCCGCAGGCTGATCTCCCAGATGAACTACTCGTGGGCATGGAGCGCATACACAGACTCGGTGCTGCTGGGAAGAACCCTGAGGCCGAGGACACAGATCTAAACATAGCTTCGGTGAGGGCTGTGGAAGAGGGAGTCTTCATTCTGTCCTCTGGGGACTGACATCAGGCTTAGGAGGGGTGGTAGGGTAGCTAAAGGGGCCAAGAGATGAATGGATGAATGGGTTGGTGGACAGATGGATGGACGGATGGATGGATGGATGGATGTGCCATTGTATTCACTCAATTGATGATGGTAAGTGGGTGGATGGTATTTAGGGAGATATTTGACTGGCTGGATAAATGGGTGGATACTTGGGTAGACAGACCATTGGTTCATTGGCTGGATGAACATGGATAATGTTAGAATAAATGATTGAGTAGATAAGTTAAGATGACAGAGGCATGAAGCGTAAGTTGTATATTGCTACATAACAAATGACCCACAACTTATTACCTTAAAACACCTAACATTTATTATGTCACATGATTTCTGACAATCAGGAACCTGGAAGCAGTTTAGCTGTGTGGGTTTTTTTGTTTTGGTTTGGCTTTCGTGGTGCTGGGGATGGCACCCAGGCCTTGTACCTGCCTCCTCCTGTGTACCACTGAGCTATAGCCCCAGCCCTAGCTGGGTGGTCTTGCTCAGGGTCTCTCTTGGGTTGAAGTCACCCTCTCAGACAGGGCTGCAGTCTCCTGGGCTGGAGGACTTGCTTCCAAGGTGTGTCCGGCCTTGGTCCTGCATTGCCATTGGCTGGAGGCCTCAGCTCCTCATCCCACAGGGCTCCTGGAAGGCTGCATGAGTTCTCACAACATGGCAGTATCAGGGACAGGAGGAGGAAGGGATCAAGACAGAAGGTACTGTCTTCTACAGCTTAATCCAGAAGGGACAGGCCACCACTCTGCTGCATCCTATTAGTCATACAGATCCCAGGCAACTACACAGGAGGGTGAACACGAAAAGGCAGGGGTCCCCGAGGACCCCCAATGATTCATGTTACTCCCTCAAGCAAAATACACCTGAACCTTCACAAGGCCTCAAAAACCTCTTCCCAACAGTGTCCAGCTGAGGCATAGCTTAGTGTGAAGGCCTTGGGTTCAATCCCCAGTACCACCCCCTCACAAAAAGCCTAATGATACATAAACCAGTAACATTGGCACCCATTATCATTACTAGGTATTGTGGGTCCATAATTGTATGTGCTGAACCTTTATGAGCTGGAAGCACAGTGGGTGTGCTTACACAAATACATCAGTGACACATCACCTTGTGCTGTCATGACAGCTGCGTCAGTAGGTGGCAAGAACACAGCTCTGTTATCATCTTGTGGACCACCATCGTGTCTGCAGTCCACTGTTAAGCGGAATGTCACTAAAGTTGCTAACAGTTGTCATCATATTATAGTAAAAGAGTACAAACCAGACCAGCCAAGGAAGAGAGGCAGCAGGTGGCATCTGGGACTGGAAAGGTCCCCAGTGGGAAGCATCCATGTCCTCAGGGACACCTTACCCTCCTGGCGATTTGCACACAAGTTTGCTGACCCAGGACCCAGTGTGCAGAGTTTTTATTGAGGTTTCATTACCTGCACAGTACTGAGTTATTGCTGATGTGATTCAATTCTCTTTCCATGTCAAGCTTGCCTTTCCTGATTCCTGTTTTTCTTTTTTTAGTCAGTGTAGTCTAGAGTGAGTCATGTGACCTCTCTAGGCTTCCATCCCTTTAAAAAATATTCTTATTAGTTCATATTTGCATTACAAAAGTTTACATCCATTGTAGGTCATAGGTACATGTACACTACTTAACACATCTTAATTCTTTTTAACACCCTCTCCCTCCATCACTAGATCCCCTTCCCATCTGCAAAGGATCCATCTCTCTGGTCCCTGTCCGGCTGATTTCATGTGACCCAAAACTCCAGCCCTTGAATCACACGGTGGGTTTTCCTGCCATGGCAGCTCCCACCCCAGGTCACCTCATTAGCATAAACCATCCTGGGTCACCTCAGTGACATAAGCTATCAAGGGTGCTTCAAGGAGGGGATGCTTAATAGCAAAGACATTGATGTCACTTGGGAGACTCCAAGAGTTTCAAGGTTACCTCTGAGGTGCTAGGACAAAGGCAAGAGCTCTCTGGGGGAAGTTTATTCATTCTTTACTACACAGAGAGGTTGACAGTATCAGAATCTTCAAACCCTAGCTCCTTTGCATTTACCATTCATTCCTTCGTGTGTGTGTGTGTGTGTGTGTGTGTATGTGTGTATGTAATACTAGGGATTGAACCCAAAGCCTTTGCACTGAACTACATCCCCAGCCTTTCTTCTATTATTTTATTTTGAGACAGGGCCTCAATAAGTCAGTAAATTGCACAGGCTGGACTTGAACTTGTGATCCTCCTGCCTCAGCTTCCCAGAGTGGGAAACTGGGATTAGAATGTACACCACCAGGCCCAGCCCATTTCTTCCTTTAGCTTCTCTCTCCTCTTGCCTTTTACCCTAAGTAGCAAGGGGAAATCAGGGAGTGGCTGAAAACTTCAACACCATATTTAGAAATCTCCTCAGCTGGATCACCCAGTTTATTGGCTCCATTTTCTCCTTTCCACATAACTATAGGCAGCAGTGTCGCTGAACTTGAAGCCACTACACGAGGAAAGCTCCCAGTCCTGTAACACTTCTCACTTCCTCTCAGCCTCACTGGGAGCCATGTTTCACATTCTCACTGATCCTTCGCTCAGGCAATTTAGGATTTCTCTAACATGCTCTGCAGAGTCTTTCCAGCCCCTGCCCAGTTCGAGTCACTATATTTTAGCACCCTGCCACTCGAAGTACCAAAATATAATATTTATTTCTAGATAATCGGTTACCCCAAAATTTAGCAGGTGAAAACAGTGAGCATTTGTAAAACCTCACGTAACCCGTGAAGATCAGGGGTCCAGGAGCCAGGTGGATGCTCTTGTGTAGAGTTTCCCGTGAGGTCACAGCCATTGAAGGCTTGGCTGGGACTAGAGGATCCACTCCCAAGGTCACTCACTAGCCTGGCAAAGGTTCCTTGTAGGCCTCTCCACAGAACTGCTTGTCACAAGGCTTCCCCAACCCCGACAATGGGAGGTGGGGGGGCTGTGCCTTTTATAGCCCAATGCAGAAGTCACACAAAATCACTTCCTGTTGTCACCCAGGTCCATCCTGATCACTGTGCCAGGGGACACAGCAGGGTGTCAATCCAAGAGGGCAACCTCATGGAGGGCTGGCTCGGTCCTTGTACCTGTTTTACAGATGGGGAAACTGAAGCTCAGACTCTGGGCTTTGGCACATGACTCTGAAACAGTGGAGCTGGGAACCCACCCAGGCCACCCAAGGGCAAGGCCCACGCTCCTAACTCCTCCCGCCCGTCCTCCGCAGGACGCCGATGCTCTGGACTTGGAGATGCTGGCCCCCTACATCTCCATGGATGATGACTTCCAGCTCAGCTCCAGCGAGCAGCTGCCCAGGGCCTTCCACAGACCTCCAGGGACCGTGCCCCGTCCCCGTGCTCAGAGCTTCCATGGCCTGTCACCTCCAACCCCTGAGCCCGCCCCGCTGCCACGCTGGGGGAGTGACCCCCGGCTGAGCTGCTCCAGCCCTCCCAGAGGGGACCCCTCAGCTTCCTCCTACACAGTCGGGGCTCGGAAGAGGTGAGCTGCAGGGGGCGGATGTTAACGGGGCGTACAGAAGGTCCCCACCTATCTGTGTCCTTGACCTCATCCTTTCGCCTCATCCTTCTCCACCGTTCCTCCTACCCTCACCTGCTCTCCAGCCAGACCCTCCGTGTCCCCAGCACAAGCCAGGTCTGCCTGCACTTTGGTGCCTTCTGGAGCACCCTCTGCTGCTCTTGTCATTCATCCACACCCCACACAGCCAGGGATCGACCCTCTGGGATATACTGATATCTGGCTTAGGTACAGTTTTTGTCATAATGAAGAAGACAAGGCTAGGCATGGTGGCACACGATTGTAATCCCGGCTACTCGGAGGCTGAGGCAGGAACATCACAAGTTTGAGGCCAACACGGGCAACTTAATGAGACCCCAGTCTCAAAAGAAAATTGAAAAAGAAAGAAGGGGCTGGGAGTATAGAGTTGTAGAGCCCTGGCCTGGGTTCAATCCCCAGTACTACAATAATAATAATAGTAATGGTAATGATAATAATAATAGAAGAAAGAGGGCTGGGGTATAGTTCAGTGGTAGAGCACTTGCCTATCATGTGTGAGGCCCTGGTTTCCACCTCAGCTCTGGAAAACAGAAGATATCGCCAGTGTCTGAGAGACTAGAACTGTTTCCTAACACTTTCGAGAACCTGTTGAAATGTGACTCTTTCTAAAATGTGCACACACACACAATACACACACATGCAACATTTTGCGTATAATTTAGATATTAGATTATTAGTACTCAAACTTTTGTTCTCCAAAAGCCATGTGCCTATGTAGACTCCAGGAGAGATCACTTTTCTGTCCTTAGAAGGCTGTTAAGCATACAGCTCGGTAGCTCCCAAAGCTCCCAGATTGGGGATGGTTACACACTGGGTGCCTAATAAACATGCATTAAATAAAGGAGGGAGGGAAATGATGAACATCGTGGGTAGGCAGACAGATGGACAGGTGGGTGGATGGAAGGATAGATGGTGAGTGGGTAGAAGGATAGGTGGATGAGAGGAAGGATAGATGGATCACCAGATAGATGGGTAGGAAGATGGAATAGTAACTGGATAAGTGAATGAATGAATGAATGAATGAATGGAAAGATGAGTGAATAGGAGGCTGGGTAGGGAAGGAGGGGGCGGACAGATGGATAGGTAGGTAAATGAAAGGAGGGATGGATGGGAGGTTGGCTGGGTGCTAGATAATGGATCAGTAGGTAGATGAATGAGATCTGGATTGGGTGAATGGATAGACGAAAGGGGTGGTGGGCACATGCGTAAAGGAATTAGGCGCTTGGGAGCACGCAAGGATGCTCATCACTGCTGACCCTGGTGCCCAAACCTGCCCAGGCCATCTGTGTCGTGTCTGAGTCTTGCCTGTTGTTCTCCAGGGCCCTGGCCCAGAGCTCAGAGGATGAGGGGGTGGACCTGCTGGGCGTGAGACCCCCCAAACGGTCCCCCAGTCTAGACCCTGAAAACTTCCTGCTGCCTCCCGTCAGCCTGGTATGTCTGGGGATTGGTGGGATGTTTCAGCTCTCAGAACCTAGTAGGCTTAAACTTCTTGTTCTATAGATGGGGAAGCCAGAGAGGGCCAGGGGCTGGCTGAAGGTCATACGGAAGATTAACGGTCCAGCTGAAGTCAGGACCTTGATCTTCTAGTTCTGCTAATGGGTATGAAAAGGCTTTGCCAATATGTGATAAATGCCAAGAAGAAACATCAAAGAAGGTAAAGGGAGCAATGCAGGTGGCGGGTGTCAGCAGGAACCTTCCCTGTCCCACTCAAATGGGACCCCTCCCATGGGACCCCCTCCAGAACAGGCTTGGTCTCGGACATCTAGCATAGAGTTCAGAGTTGAAACATCAGAGTTAGGTTGACATGGGTTCAAGTCCCAGGTCTGCCACTTAGTTACTGAGAACTTGGGCAGCTGGTGTCAACTCCCTGAGCCTTAGTTTCTAAATCTGGAAAATGGGGATAGTTACAGCTCATAGGACTGCCATGAGGATTAAATGAAATCAGCCCCATAGCTGATACTCAGTGGGATGTCATTTAATGGTGTGGGAAAACATGCTTACCTAGCATGCACAAGGCTCAGTACCTTAAGAAAAGAAAGTAGCATCCACCGGTCTCCCTGCCTCGTCTCACCCCTACTGTCCATTCTGCACAATAGCAAACAGAACGCACTTTCTAAAAGGCAGCCTGGATCGTGTCACCTCCACAGATCCTCCCTCTACGATCTCCCATGGCTCCCTAGTGCCCACAGAAGGGTTTCTTGGCTTTTTAGTCCAAAGAGCGCTGTTTGAACATGAAGGGTGTGGTTGGTAATACCAGTTGCTTACATTTATTGTGTGCCAGATGCTGACTTCACTAAGTGCCTTGGCGTGATTAATACATGTAGGCCTCACGACCATTCTTTTTTTTTTGGTACCGGGGATCGAACTCGGGACCTTGCACTTGCGAGGCAGGTGCCAGAACCACTGAGCTAAATCCCCAGTCCATCACGACCATTCTGGAAGTGTCCTTATTAAGGTGCACACCACACTCAAGAGGTTAAGCGGCTTCGTCAGTCTAGGCAGGGAATGGCACTCTCAGACAGGGTGTCGGGGAGAATCTAATAGCAGGACAGTTGGCAAGGGTGTGGGCAGAGTACAGAGACAGCCACGGGCCTGGTAGTGCACTGGGGCCAGCACTGTGGGAAGCAGCAGCACCCTCAGCCTGGAGGGGTGATGAGGTGACAGGCTGAGGTGTTCCACAGAGGGACAAGGCTAGCCCACAGCCTTCCAACAGGGAAGCAGTGAGGAAGAAAAATGTCCCCTTTGCCCCTCCCACCTGCTGCGGTCCCCACCAGCTGTGCCCAAGAGAAGCCCACAGCCAGGCTGTGTGGTGCTATGCTCTATGCACAGTCAGCCTCCTGGGGCACAGGAGAGAAAGGCAGGAGGAGGAGGAGGATCTGGAGGGACACACAGAGGACACACTGGGACAGTGACTTGCTCACCAGCGGCCACCACATCCCAGCTGTGCCCTGCGCTGACCACTGCACCATCCTGCCTCCTTGGAGATAGATGGTGATGATGATGGTGGTGGATCTGTCTCTCCCGCAGAGTTTCCTCCTGATGGGAGGCCAAGCCCCAGGGATCCAGCAGGACCCCCACACCCACTTCCTGGACATGGATGAGCCTTTGGGTGAGTTGCAAAGTGGATATGCAGCAGTCCTGGGTCCCCTGGCCCCAAGAGGGATGGCACCATCCCGAGGGTGATACTGCAGTACGGAGGTGGCCTTGATAGACACAGACAGCCCCTCCTCTCCTGGGCTCTGGTGCAGGGAGGACCCCGAGGATGACAGAGATCACCGAGGCTGCCCTGTGGGGTGGGAGCCAAACTGAGCTGTCAGCTTCTGCCTCGGAAGCCTCAGTTTCCCCCTCTGTCAGCTGGGCCCTGTTGCTTTAGTTCTTGTCCGAAGGAGACATTGAGGCCCCAAGGAGGCGCCGGACCGGCAGAGCCTTCCTTACAAGGCCTGTGTCACAAAACATCCTCCCCTGTGGCCACGGTGGCGAGCTGGCCCGGCAGCCACCCCCAAAGGCTGCATTTGTGTTATTATTGTCATTTCCAGTGCAACTATCAAACTACCCAGTGCTCTACTGGGTACCGCTGTGCATCAGCCAGAGGGATCTTCCCAAAGCCCGAATCTGCCCTAGCCCTCCTCGGCTCAAAACCCTTCCACAGCTCCCTAGTACCCTCCAGAGAAACTCCAGAAGGCTCCTCTCCTTGGACTCAAGCCCTGTGGCCTCTGGCTGCTGCTTCATTTCAGATCATTAGCTCTGTGTCACTCAGTCTTTTGGTTTACTCCTTTCTTCATACACATAGATGTTTAAGGAGCACACAGTAGGTGCCAGGCACTATCCTGGGTGCTGGAGATTCACAGAACAAAACATAGAAACCCCTGCCCATGTGGGGCTGGCATTCCAGGAAGGGAAAAAGACTACGGCAGAGAAACAAGCACAATGAAGGATCCAAGAGAGCTGGATGTGGTGGGACACACCTGTAATCCCAGCTGCTTGGGAGGCTAAGGCAGGAGGATTCCAGTTTGAGCCCAGTCTGAGTAACTTAGCAAGATCAAAATAAAATACAAAGGACTAGGATTGTACACAGCTCAGCAGTAGAATGTTTGCCTAGCATGTGTGAGACTGTGGGTTCCATCCCTAGTAATACTACAAAAACAAAAACGCAAGAGCTGAAAATAAGTGGAAAAGATTATGAATGCCAGGGAAAAGAGAGTTGGGGGGGGGTGATTTCCGTTTTCAGGAGTCTGATCAGGGCTGGCCTCACAGAGAAGGTGACAGCCAAGCAAAGATGAAAGGAGTGAGCCCTAATGATTCAGGGCACTGTTTCAGGCAGGTGCCAAGGTCCCCAGGTGGGGCTGTGTCTGTCCTGTTTGGGAAAAGCAAAGAGAAGGGAAAAGGTGAGGGTGGTACTTTAGTTACTTTTCTCTCATTGCTGAGACAAAATACCTGACACCCAAAGTTAAAGGGGGAAAGGTTTATTTAGCTCAGTTTGTAGAGGTTTCAGTCCATAGTCGGCTGGCTCCAAGGCAGGGCGGCATCACAGAGGAGAAACAGTTCATGGAGGGCAGAAGGTAGCAGAGCAAGCAAGGGCCAACCACAGCTCTTTCTATCCCTGTATCTTATCCAGACTACTTGGGTTGGGCAGCACTCACACCCTTAATCCTAGAGCCCTTGATCCCAGCATTGCACCATGATTCAATTCCAGTGTCATACACTCTAGATCCAGCCACCTCTGAAAAAGCCCCACCTATGACTGCATGAAGCTTTGGGGGACATCTAGACACAAGCCATAACAGGTAGATTGCACAGGGCCCCTGTAGGGCATTGTGCTGGCTTCAAAGTTGCCTTACTTGAAGAGGTAGCCTCAGGGCCTTTGCATATCTCAATCCCTCTTCCTGGAATGCTTTTCCCTGTGTTTACCTAGATCCAATATTACTCCTTCCTTGGGGCCCTCCATCCCTTCCTAAGTGCATGGTCCACAATTACATAGGCATCTGCGTCCTTATTTGATCACAGGCTGTCTTCTCTCTGTGGGTTTGAGCCCCATGAGGGCAAGGCTGTCTTGGCTGCTGCTGTACTGTCTGTGTCCATGGCACTTGGGCAGCAGCTGGGCACACACCGGCCAGGCACAGCTGTAAATGAAGAGCTAGTTGACCAAGCGCTGGCTCTGTGTCAAGTTACAAGCTAGGTCTTGTTCGGATGTGATCACTGTGAACTGTCAGCCCTCTGCTCTGGAATGTCAGCCCCGGGGCAGGGAGTTTCCTCCCTCAGGAAAGCATGCTGCCTGGTGCCCAGTAGGTGCTCAGTGAATGTGGGTGGAGCAACTTCTCATAAAAGACACCGGTTCACTTACTAATGTGCACTGGCAGTAGTTATGGTCAGAGCTTGTCACGTGGGCTTGACTCCAGCCCCCACCCCACCCCGTGGGAGAAGGACAGGACTGTTATTAGCCCATTTTACAGGTGAGGGGACTGTGGCCCAGAGAGGTGAAGTTCCCTGCCCCACATTTCACAGCAAGTAAATAGCAATGTCTGGATTCAAACTAGGTGCTGGGGGTGGAACCCAGGGCCCCACACGTGGCAATCTAATGCTCTGCCAGTGAGCTGCATGCCCAGCCCCTGAAAGCAGATTCTTAACCACAGCTACTTGCTCAAGATTGAGCAGCGGTGGGAACCCAGGCAGGCCTGCCTCCCTCTCTGCTTTTTAACTCCAGGAAGGGAGATAGGATGCATGGTCATCCTCCGGGATTTACCTTCCATTTCTCCCCAAAGGCCTGGGCCCCTCGCTGCTCTCTCTCTACCCAGACGAGGATGCTGCCCAGCCCAGGAGCCACTTCGTACCGGCCGCAGGCCTGGCCCAGGCCCCCTGAGCTCGCGCCTCTCCTGCTTTCCTCCTCACACCCACAGAGGACCTCAGCCACACTCCACACCGGCCTTGATGCACGGAGCAGGCCTCTCCGGGTGCCCCGCCAGCCTTGGGCCCACCTCAGTGCCCCCTCTGCCTGCACCTTCTCAGGGGCTCTTTGGGGTGGCTTCAGCTCAGTGACCTCTGGGAGGGGGTCTCTGGCCCCCTCCTCCCACTCTCAGGACTTCCTTTGGGGTTCCGTATGTGGTTACCTCACTCTCCCTTTCTCCCACTGTCTTGACTTTATTTTGGGGAACTAGGGGTGAGAAGGGTTGGGGTCACAGCTGTGTTTCTGGGCTCTGGAGTATGGATAACCATAATCACTCTTCTTTCCCTCCCTCTTGTATTGCCATTTTTGTTTTTACGGCTTTTAATCACTATGAATTGCTGAGGGTCCATAAGAACGTGGGACTGTGATCCTCAGGTGTCCCCGGGGCAGGTGCTGGGTCAGACCTCATATCCCAGCAGTTTCTGAGTAGAGATCTCCCAGGCTGCCCCAGCTCTGTCTGTTCCTTCCATTCTGGATTTCCCACTGCCTCCAGCCTCACCTGGAAAATGACTGTTCATGGTCTTCCTACTTCAGGGGTAGCCTCCAACTTCCTCTGCTTCCGGACCATAGAACCTCTGATGTCTGTTGGTTCTAGACTATACAACCTTCAGCCTAGCTTGGTTCTACGGTGAGCAACCTCTGACCTTTCCTGGTCCTGGGCTGTACAGCCTCCAACATGGTCTGCTGTACACCTTACATCCTTCAAATCCCTCTGATTCCAGCTCTTTCTCATTCTGGACCTCACAACCTCCAATCCTGCCTGTTTTCAAACCTTACGAGTTTCAAAAATTGATGTGAGCTACACCACCTCTAACTCCCTCTAGTTCTAAAGCCTATGACCACAGATTCTGTTCGTTCTGGAACTCAGTCTGTAACTTCCTCTGGTTCTAGACCTCCACAACTCCAAGCTTCCAGTTGGTTCTAGTCTTCCTGATCCGAAGTACACTTGGTTCCAAATGCAGACCTCCGAATTTCTAAACCATTTTGATTCCAAACCATATGATGCCTCAGTTCATTCCTCTTCAACATTCTGCACTCATCAAAGAGAAGTAACATGAACTTTATATCTAGATCTTGTAGCCAGTTCTTCCAGAGCCAGATAACACGAGCCATTTCTTAGGTTCAGGACCTCATGACCTCCACCGTTCACCAGTTCTAGACCTTGCAACCTCCAAGGTCCTCTGATCCCAGATCTGATGATCTGCTCCTTTTCTGCTTCTAGAACTGAGCTGCAAATGTCTTGACTCTAGACTGCATCCTGTAAATTCCCTTGGTTGTACTCTTTACAGTTTCTGAATCCCTGCGCTCCAGATGTTAGAACTTCAAATTAGCCTGGGTCTAGAACTCAGCCTTCAAACATCTGATTCCACACTGCCTTATAAATGTTATGACTCTCAACCTTACAACCTCAATTCTTCTGATTCTAGATCTTATGACCAAAATCTCTCTGGTTCTGCAGTCTTTTTTTAATCTATCATTCTATAAATTTGTCTGGTTCTAGGCCACACAGCTTCCGACTGCCTCTGATTTTAGGTCTAAATTCCTCAGGTTCTAAAATTCTGATTCCAAATGCTTCTGATTCTAAAATCTAGACTTCATCTTGTAGATTCCTCTGGTACCAAATCTTATAAACCTTGACACCCCAACTCCATAGCCCACCCTCCTTATTCCATCCTGGGCTTCCTGCCCCACCGAACTTGTCCCAGTTCTTGCCCTGTCTTAAGTCTTCCAATTCCAGATTCCCACCCCCAGGCCCTCTGCTTATGAACTTCCCGCTCAAGCCTCTCCACCTCTTATCCCTAAGATCTCGCTGTCCTAGAACCTGACTCCCCACCACAGCCCTCCAGACATGCACTTAGCTTGACTTCTCCCAGCTGTCTTAGGGGACCTGCCTCCCCCTACACATTGAAGGCTCACAATCCAGGAGGTTTCTCCAGCTGCACAGGCTCATGCACAGCCCCACCTACATACTTTGGGGTAGGGGAGATAGGCCAGGACTTCAGCTCTCTACCCTTAGCTATGTCCTCCTAACCTCCAGCTGCCTTCCATGATGGTGCTACCCTTGGTCTAATACAGGAGAACTGACTGGCCCTTCTCAACCCCTTTACCCCCCCTTTGGGAGGCACCGCTCACTCTGATCTGTTGGGGTGTGGCCTGTCCAGATTGGTGCTATGGGGGAAGGGTCTGATTCCCCTTTTCTGTGCAGTGACATGGGCCCTCATCAGGGGGAACTGTGCTGTGCTAGGGAAGGGGAAGGGACTGGCCCAGCCATGCTGGCTCTGAAACCCTCTAATGCCCCCCAAATAACCATAAAGACCTCGCCTTGGTAGGCACCAGAGCTTGGTGTGGTGACTCATCTATGGTGGGGTGCTCTGGTGGCTGGGTGTCCATGACACCGATTCTCTGTGTGTGAGCGTCTGTGTTCCTGCGTGGGTGTATGTAATGTGTGTCTGGCAATGTCATCCTGTGTATACATGTAGGTCTTTGTGACATACTTCCGTGAACCTGTGTTGGGAAGTTGCAGTTCCTCCTACATGGGTGTCAGCATCTGGGAGAAATGACTGTGTGTGCGCGTGTTTCTGGTTACTTGTGTGGGAGGCACTGTGATTTTTTTGGATCTTTGTGAGGTGATGCTATGTTTGTATGGGACTGTTTGACACGAATTGCAGGAACTGATGTGTGTCTGTGTGACATGATTCTCTGTGCTCAAATGAGTTTCTGCAAGAGATTGAGCGTCTACAGATTCACGTGTGGGAAGATGTGTCTGTTCAGTCACGTCTCTGTATGTCACCCTCACAGCCCTCTCCTGTGTTCCACATCGGGATCTTTGCAAGGGAAGAAAACCACTCTCAAGCCTTCCTACTTGCTGGCTCCTCTGCCTTAAATACCGCCCCCCGCCTTATGTCCTACCCATACTTGAGATTTTGCTTAAGATGCTCCCTATGTTGGAAGCCTTCCCTACCTGCCCCAGTTGGATGAGTTCCCACAACCCCCTGAAACTCCCCCACCCCATTACAACACTAAGCAAACCATCATAACCCCACTTTACAGAGGATAAAATAGGCTCAGAGAGGGTGATCACTTGCCCAAGGTCAGAGTCACAAGGTCACAGAGCCTGCAGGTGAGGAGGTGAATTAGATTCAAGTTCATTAGACAAAAAAAAAAAAGCAAAAAAAATTTACTAACCCAGGTGGTGCATATACACAGTCAATAGAATAGAAATTAAGACCACAAGAGTTGGGTGAGACAGATTCAAATCCTGCCTCGGTCAATTCCTTTCCTTGTGACCTTGTGTAAGAAAGTTGATCCCTGCAAATTCCAGTGTCTCGGTCTGTAAAATGGACGGGGTATAGTATCTAGGCTGATCATTGGCTGTGGTGGGATGGTGGAGAGGTTTGGGGTAGGAGAGACTGTGCTTCCAGGAAGGGGATCTAAGCAGAGCTTTAAGACTTTGTGCTACAGTTCGGCCCGATTAGAGGCCAGGGTTGAAGAAGCTAGTGGGAAGGATGTACAAACAGGATCTGAAAATGTTTCCTGAGGCCGGACTGACTATTCAGGGTCTCCTAGGAGCCCAAGGGCGCTGGGGGGCCATGGCCAGCTAGAGGGTACGTGCCAGTCTTATAGTCCTTTAGAAGGATCCCTCTAGCTGCCATATGGTGGGTAAACGAGGAGGGAGGCCGAATGCAAGCAGCACGAGGGGCTGAGGCTGTGAACCAGGCAACAGAAAATGCAGAGACAAACAGGAGAATCATTCTGAAGATTCAGCAGGGTCCGGGAAGCTAAATTCTTAGAGCAGAACGAAGATGGTGCAACAAACTTGAGTCTTGCTTAGGACCTGGGGATCCCGGTGCCTTCAGTTAATAACAGAAACACTAACGTGAAAGGTGGGAAGTTAGCTTTGCTTGGGCCACCACCCATTTTTCAGAGGGGTAACTGAGGCGCTGAACGGTTAGGATTTGTTCAAGGTCACACGAGTAGCTGGCAGTAGGGCTGGAGATCGGATCCGCGCCCTCCCTTAGCCCTAGCGTGGCCCGGCACAGCAGGAGCCCCACCGCCAGCGGCATCTGCAACCTATCCGGTACCAACCTGAGAGAACTGCGGGATCATAAGACCCAAAAACTTATGCGGCCTCGGAACACAGTAACTCTGGAAGTCAAAGCCGCGCAGAGCCTTTTTTCCCCGCGCGCCCCCTTCTCTTTCCTTATTGGCTCGTTGTATGAGAGGCGCTGCCTGGAGACCCTCTGGTCACCTTGTCCTCCGCGCGTTCTACGGCGAGAAGGGGCTTTGCGCAAGCGCGTGAAGGGTGCCTTCGGGGCCCGCGCTTTACGACACTTGTGCGGCAGCGGCGGCGGTCACTCGGCGCTCCTTCGCGACGGTTCGGCCGGGTGCCGCTGGCGGCCGTTGCCAGGGTGGGGGTCGCTTTGCGGCATGGCGATGGCGGAGGGCGAGCGGACTGAGTGTGCTGAGCCCCCTCGGGACGAGCCTCCGGCTGATGGCGCTCTGAAACGGGCAGAGGAGCTCAAGACACAGGCCAACGACTACTTCAAAGGTGCGCCCGGCCCGGACGGGGCGAAAGAGGGTGGACAGTGGCCCAGGCCGAGGGGTGCCGCGCGGAACCATGGCAACGCGGAGCAGCAGCCGGGGCGCAGGGCAGGCAGTACCAAGTGACGGCGTGTGGAGAGGCCTGGGATGGCGCTACCAGAGGGCGACATAGGGGGCTTCTGGGAGGAGGGGTAATGCCTAGAAGTGGCGTTCGGAGCGGGAGCTACTAAGTGGAGAGACTGAGGCGGGAGCTACCAAATGTGGAGCGGGAGGGGGACCGGAATGTGAGCTATCAAATAAGAGAGATGTGATGAGACCTAAAGAGGGCGCTACCTAGTAGTGACATGAGGAGTGATGGTGCTACCAAGTGAGGAGATGGGTACCACCAAGTGGGAGGGCAGCCCCATAGAGAAGGGAACTGTGTGGGGTTAGGGGATAGATCATTAGATTGGGAGGGGCCAAGGGAATAGGAGACTTGGGGTGACTCGAGGAAAAGGGACATGTGAATGAGTGAATGAGACACATGTGGCCCTACCCTTAGACAACTTGTAATATAGCAGCAGAGTCACAATTGAGCAAGCATGCACATAAGTAAATTACTTAAGCTGAAAGAAAACCAACAAGGTGATGAAGTAGAGAATAAAGGTTGGAAACCACTTTAGATAAGGTGGTCAGGGAATGCCTTGTGGAGAAGGAGGCATTTAAACAGAAACTCAGAGAATTGCGGAGGAAGTGTTCTAGGTAGGCAGAGCAGTGTGTGCAAAGGCCCTGGGGTGAGGAGTGAAAGGAGGACCTCGTGGCCTGAGCAAGTTCAGGGAAGAGACTGATTCAAGATAAGGTGAGGCTAGGGGCTACATCATGCAAGGTCTCACCTGTCTTACTCACCTGTCCAGGAAGAGACATTGAATAGGTCTTGACTGGAGAAGAATTTGGACTTGGTTGGAATGGATGAGGTCACCTAAGAACAGGTTCTAGAGAAGATCTGGAATGGAACCTTGAGAAATTCTAATGTTTAGAATGCAAGAGGAGAATGCTGAGAGTAGTGGTTAGTGAGGTAGAAGAGAAGAAGGTGCCACAAAAGCTGAGAGAAGACAGTGCTTCTAGAGGGAGGGACAGGTTACTTCAGTCGGAGGCTGCCAAAGTGAGCACCAAGCCTTGGCCATTGGATTTGGCTCTGTGGATGCAGGCAGTGGTGTTGATAAGACCTGTTGCCGGGGAATGACAGAGTGATTGTCAGCTAGGAGGGCACTGTGGGGTAAATGGGAGGTGAGGAAGGTGAGAGAGCAGATGTTGACAAGTGTTTGAGTAGTTTGGTTCTGAAAGACAGTGTGTCCAGCGAGTCTGCTTTTTCAGGCATGGTTCAACAAAGAGGCAGAGTTGATTCTGCAAGAGAGAGGAGAGACTCACACCTGGGAAGCTCTGGAGAGGGTGGTTGGAGGTGGGAATCTCTAGGGCTTCCCCCCGTGGGAACAGAGTATGAAGAAGTCTGATCAGATGGGAACAATGGGAAGGAGGTAGGATTGGTGAGATTCAGCCAGAGGTAGAGTCTTAGAGGCTGGGCTGGGGAGTAAGAGTGTCATCCTGAGGGTGATGGGGAGCCATGGAGGGTTTTAGTAAAGGAGCCACACAGTCTGATTAGTTTGGAAAAGGATCCCCTGCTGGTGGCTGGTGGATAGAGACTGGATACAAAGGCAAGACTGAAGCCCAGGAAGGAGGCTAGAAAAGAGGACAGACAGATGAGAGGTGGTAGGGCCTCAGACCAGGCAGAGGAGTGGAAGCTGAGGAAATGACAGTGGCTATGACTGCGGGCTGTGTGTGTGTGTGTGTGTGTCTGTGTGTGTGTGTGTGTCTGTGTGTCTAGGCAGAAAGAACCCGGTGACAAAGGCTCAAAGGTGAGCAGAACTGGCACCTGGGGGTGGGGGCTGGAATGGAGGAGGTGAGGGAGTGAACAGAGAGGCTGCAGGCCGCAGAATATTTAGGGTCCCAATCTTCAGCTGAAGGCTTTAGGAAGCCCTGATTGGCACCGAACGAGAAAGGACGTGGTCAGGCTTGTGCTTTAGGAAGGCTCTGGAGGGGCAGGACTGGGGCAGGAACCTGGGCGGGGTGGGGGTGGGGTCATGAGGATGGAAGTGAGGGAATGGATGTAAGAGATGCTCAGGAGGCTGATGTGACAGAATGAAGAAAATGCTGGGCTTGGGGGCTGCAGTCAGAAGGCGTCCAGGATGAAGCCAGGTCTCCAGCTGGGTGACAGAGTTGGAGGTGAAGCTGTCCCTTCCATGGGACTTGAGAAAAATAGCGAGAGTTGGAGCTGCTGATGAAGCTAGGTGAGAATTGTGGGAAAGAGTAAGACATGGGGCGGGGCTCTTGCCCCCCCTGGACCTGGGACCTGTGTTCTCTGGAGCCCCGGGGCAGGCTGGCAGGCAGCCAGAGGTGCCTGTCAAGGTGCTAGCTTGGAGAACACCCCCCTGGACAAGCCTCACAGTCTTGCAGGCAGTGGCAGGCACAGAGCCCCAGGCTCAGGGGCTGTGGGAATAATAATAAAAGAATAATTACAGCTCACTTTAATTGAGCCCCAGTGGTGGCCAGGTACTCTGGGCTAGTCTTCCCCGGGGCCCTGGGAAGTAGGTAGGAGCAGCCTTGTTTGTTTTATAGAGGAAGCGAAACTGCTCCCCGAAGGTCAGAGTGTAAGCGCAGGCCCGGATATCCCCTTCCCCTTCCTCCACACGTGCTCACCCCGAAGCTTCAGAACCGTCATGGTCTGTGTGGGAAGAAGAGGGACTAGAATGGGGAAGAGGA